AACAGACCTAAAACCCACAGAACTATTAAACAAATATACATAATATAATGTTGCTAATTGACCAAACTGTTGAAACACAGATTGCACACATTAGCTCAGTAAGGTCTTTGGCATTTAATAACTTTGCTCAGAGATGCATTTTGTCCTGCTCAGACAAGTGGCTAAATATTCATAGTAATAATATTCATCCCATTTAAAGTTTGCATTTAAAGTGCATCAAATAGTGAACCTTATATATGGCTAATATTCTTGTTATTACTTTAGTGTTACATTTTCACAAATTTCTGGTTAAGTATAACTTTAAATATTTTCATTCACTCCAGACTTAATGATAAATTTCCATTATTTATTCATTACTTAAGTGTCTCCACAACATTGATTGTGCAGCCTGTAACTTCAGATACATTCCCTGTTTCTTGAAGGGATAGGTCTGGGGTATATTGAAATTACCTAGCTTTTTATTTAAAAACAAAACAAAGAATTAACCATATAAATCAAGCAGCCGAATGGGAGCATGAAGCAACAAAAATGTCTTTTACTGCCTTTCACAAAAATCAGCAAGAAAAGCAAATGTTTCTACCAAATGCATAATTGTTTATCTAGTGCCTTACAGCTTCACAGCACTTTGCAAGTAGCAATTAGACATTTCTCTTAGCAGCTCAAGCAAAAGCAACATACATACATCCATTTTTTATTTGTTTGCCGCCTTTCCACTGTTCAAACCATGCTCAAGGTGACTTGCAACATTAAAAAAATACTTAACTACAACATAACAAATGTAGTCCTAAACAATCAGTAAAACATTAAAAAAATACACAACCTAACAGAACAATTTCCACATAAATCACAAGAAGATCTAAAACAAAGATACAAAAAACTGCAGCAACATGTTACTACAACTACAACAGCAACAGCAGCAGCAACACCACCGAAGAGTCTGTTCAGCAGCCTCAGCTTTTGTAGTTAGGGCCAGTCAGGGCTCCACTTGGGTGGAAAAAGGCCTGCAAGGCAGAGAGCAGGTGTTCCAGGATTCACAGCCAAGGTGGTTCCTGGTCCCTTCAACATCAATCATGTTCCTGCATGTGTGTCTGAGCTACACTACAGCTGGAACAGACTCTGCAAATTTGCGGCATTCCTGGACTCTGAGCACCAGACACAAGGGACAGACAAGAGGGAATGGCTGTTAGTAAACAGGTTCTGACCCAGGAGGGGTCCTGTGTTCTTAGTAAGGATGTGTGTGGGCCCTTGGGCCTGGCCATAGCAAAGAACCAGTCTTACACAGCTGTTTGACTGTCTTATGCTATACTGCGGTGCACTATCTGACTCAATAGATCAGGTGTAAAAGTACACGAAATCATAGACGTGTATGATACATTAATTGTATTGTGGCCATCTCAAATGCTTAAGCTAAATCAGGACACAAAAACAGTATTGCCATCCTTGAAGCTATCTTTCCGTAAGGTAAATGAATTGGTTAGCGTTAGCAGATCTTATTGTTTGCAGTGCATAGCAGAAACAACAAAAAACAACAACCATATGAACAGGCTCAAGGGCTTTGTGCCTGTGCCTTTTTTTAAAAGCAAAAATGCATGATGTGATGGAAGATTGAGGGTATTGTACATGCTCATTTTAGGACTTTTTTCTTCTTTAAATCGGCACATACACTGCAGCTGTACTTGGGGAAATACACCTGTTCCTAGTTAACAAAGAAATGTAATAGAAAGAAAGAAAGAAAGAAAGAAAGAAAGAAAGAAAGAAAGAAAAGACAATTTTACAAGTGATAGGGACCACCATATACAAATAAAAGGAGAAAAAAAGTGGAACTATGGAGCTGGGTTTTGGATTAGTACTCTCTTTACTCCTTTTAATTCAAGGTTACATGTTGCCATTATGTTCAGCATAACCCTTTTGTGTGGAAGAGATATTACCAAGTAATATTTAAGCAATGAAATGTTGTTTATATACAAGGTAAGCTTCTGAATCTTCTTAACATTCAATATATATAAAATCTCAGTCGAGGTCCCACACTGTGATATATTTACTACCACCAGAATATAATCCTTTCCCTATATGGGCTCACTTAGCAATCCCAAAATAACCACGGTGACCCCAGAAATTGCTCCTCTATTATCATGAATGGGTTTAAGACAACTTTATACTTATCTTCCATTTTACTATCTTCTGGCAGGTATGACAAGGACTGCAGTATAACTTTATTGCTGCATATACTGTGGACCATTAAAAGATCTGAAATAGCTTTTTCTTGGTCCAGCAAGTATCCACTTAAGCAAATATAATGGGTAGTACTCAGTATATGGACTCCTTGGTTTCAGAGCTTTTCCATTCCCAAGTAGAAGACATCCCATATAAAGAAGCTTCCATTCCCATATTAGTCACCATTTCTGCTCTGCTTTTGTTATTGCTGCTGACACTCAATGAGCTGCCTGCCTGTTCTTCAATCCAGATGCTGCATTGAACAAGCCAGAATAAAAAGGCCGTAATCCCCACACATCAGTAGATTTCTTTAGTCTTCTGCCACCAAAATATAGCCTATTTATTGGAAGTTTCTGTATTAATTTCTTTCTTTGCCATTGATGAAATGTTATGCAGGTGTTAAAGTAGGAACTTCTTTCTGTGCTAGTGGAACACTTCATATACTTCATACCATGCTCACAACATTCCCCATGTGGAACATACTGTCAAATTCAAACATATTTCCATTTTAAAGAAGGCTCAGTCTAAAGCTGACTAACATGCAGTATTGATTATTGTTCTGCAAAACATTTTTGGTGTCCAACAGGAAAGTGAATCTTTTGCTGCTCTCTGTAACTATAATTCCTCTCTTCAAGGAAAGCTCTTACTAATGTTTCTGTAAGAATCCAATGTAGTCTCAAAGGGCACAATTTCCTACATTATGTGGAAGCTATGTTCCAGGGAACCTAAGGTTTTCAGAAGTTTACCAGGTATTCCTGAAGAACAACTTCCCCCAACTTCATGCCCTCCTGATGACAAACAACGATGATGGGAGTCGCAAACATCTGGAGGGCACCACATTGAGGAAGGCTTCTCAAGGTGATGATTGGTGAATGTCCGCTTGCCTGCCACTACTAATAATCAACTTTAAAATGCAGTTGTAGGAGAACACTGTTCTAGGTAAAACATTTTGTGTGTCCCACATGAACTGAGAGTGTGCACCTTAGAAAATGCCTATACATTCTCTACAACGTAGAGGGGTTTCTTGGCAGAGGGATTGGGGTAAACACATGGTAACCTTTGGAAAAGGAGATTGTCTCTTATATCCTATTCTCCCGTTCACATTACAGATGACTTCCCACATATGTGGGGGTTACGTTTCAGGGCCCTGCACGCATAACTGAACATTGCATAACCAGGGAACACTCTTTAAATGCCCTCTCTGCCATCTTCTCTCCAAAAATCAAAAACACTGTACCAAACATATCCACAACTGAAATTGAAGCTAGGGCTGGCAGGAGGATGCTCAGGAAAGTGGCTGCTGTTGCAGTACCCTACACACCAGCTGTTCAGTGGGGAGGCCCTGCTGCTGCTCCAGTCTCTTCTCCTCCCTCACTGAAGTTCTCTGGGCTCCAGGAAGGGTCTCCTTGCAAGCCACGGGGACTCTCCAGCTCTTTCCCTCCATTTCCTGGTATGAATTAAATCATCTTTAATTCACCATTTCCTGGTGTTGCACATATACATGATCACATGCAAGTTGATCATGCGCAAGTGGGAGGGATGCCTGTATATTTCTGGGGTTTTTTGTGTTTTTAAAAGCATTTTCTTCCAGCAATCAACATTAAAATGACATTGGTCTGTCTCCTGGTATGGAAGATATTGGTCAGCTCCTCATATTTTGCCTGCATTTTTCTCCCTTTTCTGGAAAATGGGACAACAGTGGGACATAACCTTTGTGCATTGTGGTGCTGACACATTTGCAGCAAGAAATCTTTGAGCATCTGGAATACATTTTCTGTGTCATGAGGCAATGCATGTTGCTACACAGTATCTTTTCATGAGATTCTAAAAATTTTATGCTGTAAAATAACACAAAAGCATAGTAATTTATGAGAAGCAATGAGATTTGATAGTGTCATGATCCAGACGGTACAGAAGATCCATGTAACTATAATATTAGACACTAGATGTCTTTTTCCCTTTTCAGCAGTTGAGAACCTTGAATGCATGTTGTAGATTTCATTAAAGTAAATTGGAGGAGAGGTGCACCACCAGCAATCCATTATTTAACACATGGTGACCAACATGATGGTGTTCAGATGTTTTGGACTACAGCTTCCATCATTCCTTGCTACTGGCTATGCTGGCTGAGGCTGATGGGACTTGTAACACAACAGTGTCTGGAGGGCACCATATTGGCTACTCCTGACTTAAAATATACTCCACGAAATGTTAAAGAATGACCTGGTCTTTTGGCAGTGGGAAAGAGATTATTGAAACCCTTGGAGAAGGTAAGCAATAGGCAGACAACATCACCAACTCTGGGAACAAGATTTATAAGAACTTATAAAAGGCAAGGATCAAAGATTCAAATCATGAAGTTTTTGAATGAATAGGATATAATTTTGTCATAGGTTATAATATGCACACAACCCACAGAGGAAAAAAATACAGTCTTTTAACTTAAGCTTGTCTTACAGCACTTATTCTGGAGATATATATTCTTCCTGGAGATTGTCTAATTTCTTCACATCACTAAACAATTGCCAGTACTGTGCAGTGATTTATACAGTCTTGGGTAATGCAGTTTAAATCACATCAAGCAATCTAGCAAACTTTAGTCTCTCTGATTTATAACTGGATAGTGACATGTGATCCACACATTGTTGGGGAGCTTACAGGACTTTTAATGGGAGACAGCTAGGATGATCAAGGTTGAATTAAGAACTAGGACTGCTGTGAAGAAGAGAAAGATTCAGCTGACAGCCTCACCATATCAGGTGTTTTGTTTTTAAATGTTGGCACAGGCTTAAAAAGAAATTGGAGAGTTACAGAGAAGATGAAATGGAAAATGCCTGTGAGGCTCTTCAAACGGAAATTGAATTTCTGCAGATGGTATGCCCTTTAAACTTAACATTTATCATGTTTGATCATTTTAGTTGGGGAGATTCTATTTTTCTGCACATACAACACTTCTGAATAAACAATATACTAGCAGACAGGTGGAAGTTCTTTGCCTTTCAGATTGTGATTTACTAGTAAGAAGAAATTTAGTTCCCATTATAACCATGCCACTCCCTTTATTTCCCATGATTTCCATGACTTTATTTGTTTCAAGAGAGGCACTGCTTGTGAGAACTGGTAGATAATGATTCCCTACCTTAGTGGAAAGTATTAGGGATTTGAGATAAAATGCTGCCTCCTCTGCAGAACAGCTCAACAACCATTTCTGTCACATGCATATTTCCCTTCTTTGCTGACAGTTGCTTCTGGGTGAGTCCTGCCTACTCATCCATGGTGATCCCTGGAATTGAAACAGAGAAAGAACTGAACTTGCCTTCATGTGCTATTGCTGAACCTAAACCTAACAGCTGCTGTTGAGACAATAGGAGGCTGTAGTTATATAAAATGGGAGGGATCTGGGTCTTGCAGTACAGTGGTACCTCAGGTTAAGAAGTTAATTCATTCTGGAGGTCCGTTCTTAACCTGAAACTTTTCTTAAGCTGAGGTACCACTTTAGCTAATGGGGCCTCCCGCTGCCGCCATGCGATTTCTGTTCTCATCCTGAAGCAAAGTTCTTAAGCCGAGGTACTATTTCTGGGTTAGCGGAGTTTATAACCTGAAGCGTTTGTATTGAGATAGACGAAAAAGTCACAATCCAGTCTATGCATTTGAATAGTCCACTTGTCCCAAATCCATGCAAGTGTTTAGGGAAAACCCTTTTAAATAATCCCATGCTTTCAACTGATGGAAATTGTTTTGTAAGTACAGTACTTATGTGGGGCAAGGGTTCCCCTGGTTCTTTCTTTTAAACTGTTTGTAGCTGCGTACAAATCCTGCTTCCTGGGTAATTGTATGGAGGAAAAGATGGCTGCCCCCATGTAGAATGTCCCTATAAGTGCCTCGGGTTAGTGGTCTTTTTCTCCATACAATTACCAAGGAACAGTTGGAACATCATAATGTACTGCTGCTTCCAGGGGCTTTTTACTTAAAACATTTTCAACAAGTGCAGCAATCCTTGTGCTTTCTAGCAGCTGCAAGCCATTTAAAAGAATGAATGAACCAGGAAGCCCCTCAGATCACCTCATACAAAGAAATATATGTTGAATCAAACCATGCTGTTCAAAAGGTTTGTAGATGTGTGATCTAAGCCACATGTCTACGTTCTGATCCGAGCCGGATCGTCAGAGGCAGACTAGGGAGAAGCTTTCCAAATCGTGGAGTGAACCTAATCCTTCCCCATTTCTAGAAACAGAGAACCAAAACTTATTCTTTTGTTCTCTCCTTCATCCCAAAATAATCACTCTGTAGTTCTGGAGTGGGGGCCTTCTTCTGTCTCACAATTCACTTTGCCTCTCCACAGATTTTGCATGGATATAGACTTGTGTGAGCAAATACCAAAGAATGTTTTAAAATTTTTACCTTTTACAGTAAAGAGCAGATAATGCTCGGAACAATTAGCTATTTACCACTGTCTCTTTTTTATTGTTGCAGAAACTGTTATACAAAAAAAAATCTCCAGTCAAATAAATAACATATGGTGGATTGATTCAAATGTCAGAGAAACAAGTCTTTGTAGCATTTGAGTAAATGCTGCTTTTGTAAGCCTTTGTTGTTAAATTTATCATCCTCTGCATTTCCTGCTAGTAAAACATGGAACCTGTTTTTCGCAACACATATTGTATCTTTTCTTTCGTCTGTTCATTAGCAAGGGTGTCTAGCAACTGTAAACAAATCATTTTCTTTTTGCTGAGAGATTTTTTTTTTGGCAGTGTTCCCATTCCCATATTCAACATTAAAAGCCTGCCTGCATTCTATCTTCACCAGCTCTGGCAGAAGCACACAATTCAACATAACGTGGACCTTGTCACTATTATCTCAATGCTGTGCTTGTCTGTGCAATTTCCCAGTGCTGTCAGGTTTCTTGTGTGCTTCCCCGACCCCTTTTAAACCAGGAAAAGGAAACAATGGTGCTCCCTTCTGAGTCAGTGCTACCAGAAGGAGATTTTCTATGAATATTTAGCCACATTCTCTTTTAGTGTTTAATGTAGATTTATTTCAGCCTATGATCCCTTTTTAATAAGTTTCAGCAGAGGTTTGGATGCTTGTTATTTCTTATTGTCTTGCTCAGGTAGAACTTAGTCTAACTTTCTCTAAAGGTCATTTTAGATCTAACATGTCATATATGAATATTGTCTATTAATCTGACTTAACAATCATTATTTTTAAACTGATTGCTTCACTTAAGTGCCTACTATTCTGTGATATAAAAATTATTTCACACAAGTTCTTCACCTGTGCATGTGATTGGTACCTCAGTTTTTCTCACCGGTTTAGATTTTCACGCTCTAGACATATTTTCATGAGTTGACATATGATTATGGTTTTTAAAATGTGGGGAGGGAGGAATTCGCCCTGGTAATTGTGGGCTACGTAATGGAGTGCTCAGGTCACAATGGGAAGTCTGGCATCTAACAGTTTAGGTTTCAGTTTAGTTTTATTGTACTATATTCTACCTTCTCTGCCTTCTTCACCAGCCACAAATCACACTGGGAATAGAAGAGACAACTAAGGAACATTATTTCATTTTTCTACAGTGTAAAGAGGCAGCAGTGTGATGTGTTTGAGGGAGCATGAGGAAATATACAACAGTAGCATACAGATAGGACTGGCAGATGCAGACTTGGCCTGGAGCTGAGTTTGTTTATGAGCAAATGGGTGGGAAGAACAAGTTGTATATAAAAACATACCAGTGATCTAACTCTGGTATCAACATGGGTTTTTTTTTTTACTGCAAAATGTTGAGAGGAGCCAAAAAGGTCAATATGGGAAGTTATGCAGAACACATTTTCCTTTGTAGCTGCACGTCTGAATCTTATTTGGCAGAGCACCTCATTATAGGAAGAATACAACTCTTGATTTTAGAGTAAGCTTTGTATTCCAGATATATATTACAATACTGTATATGGAATAATGAGCCTGTGGACATTCATTTATAAACAGATTACAGATAGTGGGATACCACAGGATCCACGGAATTGAACTTCATGTGCTGTTTAAAATAAAAAGGGGAATGGCTGCTTACCCAATTCAGTGGTGAGTGGTGGTTGTGGCCTGCCACAGTGCCACCCCATGTCCCACTGAGCCTCGCCATGTTTTCACAATCATTGCCGCTCCTTCGCGGCCACCGCAGAGTATTCTGGGCACTGCCAGGACCTCAGTTCAAATTCAGCCAATCCATGGCTGCCTGGGGGGCAGGGCTTAGGCAGAGGACCTGAGTGTTACAGTCTCCACTCAGGTCCACTCCCTGGGTATAAAAAGCAGGCCAGAGCTACTAAACACTGTCCACCGTTCTACCCACAGTAAATTATACCAGTCCCAGTAACAATTAGAAATTTCAAGTTCTGAGATACTTCCTAAGTCAGATTAATCATTTCATTTCTAAGCTCTATAATCACCCCTGCTTCCTAAGGCAGTAACTTTATAGGATGAAAGATATGAGTGTCATACAGTGTGATAAGAATGTAAGAACCTCCGATGATACCCTAGCAGTATACTTTGCAGATGGGTACCTCTCCATGCAATTTGCAATCAATGGGAAGCATAGCCACATGACTCGGGCTGATTGGTCCTGCCCACCTGACAGGCAGACTGGTTTCCCACCCTGTGTGGCCACGTTGGGGTCAGGGAGATCCTGCAAGACATTGGGGGCCAATCAGCACCAACCTGGGTTCCTAGTGGGCAGGGCCACTGGAGCAGACCTGGGGGAAGACTTCACCCATCCAGGTCAGCTCAAAGGGAACAGAATGTGGGCTCTGCTGTACTTGGCACTGAAGTTCCCACGTGGCTGTCTGTTCCACCCTCCCTATTTTGCTATGGTTTCATGGCTGTCATAAGGGTGACAGCCTGATTTTCAGACCTTGCTATGGATATTGATAAGTTGCTGCTTTCAGGGCCAGGGAGTAATTTTCCCTGCAAAATGTTCAGGCTGGGTCTGCAGGTTTTGCCTTCCTCATAGCAATCATCACAACCTTAGGGACATGGGATCTTGGAGGGCAGTGTTTCATGTCCAGACACCCAACTCAGGGGCTGGTAGGCCAAAGCACCCTCCCCCCACTGACCAATTGGGTTCACCGGATGCAGTTCATACTGCAGGGGAACCCCTATATCTATATATAGGGGAACCCCTATATCCAGAAGGTGGGCTGGTTGATCACTGGATACATGCCCAATGTCTAAGCCGAACCTTTTTGTCTGTAATCAATAGAGTTGTTTCTAATTTGAATCCAACCCATGTGTCCCAGTATTTACTTGGCACCTGCAGACCTCACTATGTACTTACTGGGCCTGGGCATGCAATAAGTGTGCTAGGGAATTTCATTGTTCATTTTCTCAAAATGGACTTCCAATAGTGACTTTGCAGTAGACTACCCATTTTCTACTAGTAAACGCTATCCAACCAAATGTGGTTTTCACAACTCCTACAGTTCTGTGTAGGAGAACACACTCCTACAGTGTGTTCATTTTGCATGTGTTTCAGTTTAAAAGAACAAGTGGCATTATACCAACAAAAATGAATAGAAGGTTTAAAATCAGTGTAACGACAAAGTGGAATAAAGCCTTCTCATATAAAATTGTGACCAATATAAATCAGTACGGTCTGAACAAATCACTCAGCAGCACTGGAATAAAATACAGTTATGGTTAAAAGAAACATTTATGCAGGGTGAGTTGAGTTTATGGTGACATATTGTATATGAAAATGTTCAAATTAGTCACCATTGTCTTACGCATAGAACAGTCTGGGGCTCATTTAATATATTCTTGCACAAAGTGTGTGTATGAACGTCTATGATTCTTAAATCAAAGATGAGTAATTCTTGAAATAATGAGGAAAGAAAAGATGGATCTTATGTCATTTTTAATTAGAATGCTAGGGAACAGAACATTTCCAAATTGCTAAGGATACATGGGATTATTAGCAATACACCGGATATTCTGAGTAAAGAAAAATGCTCATAAATGAAACTCAGTAGATTTGATTTCAAAAAAAGATTAAGAACATCAATCATCTAAACAAATCTTTGCAAATGAAGAAAATGTCGGAAAAGTTTACTTTGGCTAGCAAAGAAAGGCAAAAAAGTTATGATTGTCCTCATATGCATCCAGACCTGTTCTGTGTCAATGTCTAAATAATATCCCTTGACTTAAACTGAGTTGGAGTACAGAGACACTCATAACCACGAATCCTAACTGGTAAGGCATTGGGACCTGACTTCCCACTTGTGTGCCCTAACATGTGACACAGGTCCTAAGCATGCACATCTGTCATCCCTGTGTTCGTTTTGTGTAATTCTTCAGCTTCAAAGAGGGGAAACGTGGCTGAAGCAAACATATTCCACCTAGATATGTTATGTTGCTGCTTTGACTGCCTTCCATAAACACAGGATTCAAAGACAAGTCAGAGTGTGCATCCATCTTTAGATAAGTAATACTGTTTCAGTTCAGTATCAGTTCAGATCAGCCTTCCCCCAGCTGCAACTCAACATAGCTTATGGGAGTTGTAGTCCAAAATACTGGGAGAGCCCCACGTTCGGGAAGACTGGCTTAGACAATGAACAAAATGCATCTACAGTATCATAGATTAGTACCGTATTTCATATTTTGGCTGATTCTTGTGAGGGATCAGCCAAGCCATCAATGATTGTGTTCCTCTATTTCGTTACAGTCTTTTAACAACAAGTCCTCATTTTAAAAATGCATAATATTCCATTTCAAAGAATGGAAGCGTGGGGTGTTATATGATGTTATTTGATGTTATATGCTCATTATTGTGCCTGAAAAGAAAGTGCGTGTCTTTCAGAGCACTAAAACAACAACAGCAGCAGCAACAGCATTATTATGATTGCTATTCAATTTATTGTGTGCCTTTCACCATCAGGGCTCAGGTCAGAACAATTTGGAGATTCAGTATTAAAAACAGTTTAAAACTAACTTACCGGCAAATGTCAGATGTCCAAGGTCAAGAGGTATTTTTTCAGCATATGATGCAAACTATATAATGAAGCTGCCAGATGCACTTCTGTGGGGAGGAAATTCCACAACCTAGTAGCTGCCACAGAGAATGCCCTCTTTCAGTCCACCACCACGCTGAACTTCTGAGGGCGGTGGAACTACCAAGAGGATCCTCTTGGTAAGGTCAGGACACCTGAGAGTTTGCAGGGGTAGCTTTACTGGTATTCACTTAAAAATAACCCCAACAAACTAACTATTTCCCAGCAAGACTGGTACAGTGGAGGAGTACCCAGCCTTGAAAAATGATGATGATTGTGATGATGAGTTAAACTCACAGGTGGTTCAAGCTTCTGGGAATGTATTGGGGGCCATTGTCTACTTTGGCAGTTCACTTTTTCATTATTGGATTATTTCACTTGTCACCCTTGACATCACAAGTGATATCTTATAGGTGCCAATGACAATCCTGTAAGTGTTTTCTAAAAAAAAACCAACCAGACTCTGTGGACGCACTTAAAAATACAACTACAAAATATAGCTTGCCTAATGCTGAGAAATGGAGGCAGTGAGAGGTTTTACTTTCTTGGGTTCCATGATCACTGCAGATGGTGACAGCAGTCACGAAATTAAAAGACACCTGCTTCTTGGGAGAAAAGCAATGACAAACTTAGACAGCATCTTAAAAAGCAGAGACATCACCTTGCCGACAGAGGTCCATATAGTTAAAACTATGGTTTTCCCAGTAGTGATGTATGGAAGTGAGAGCTGGACCATAAAGAAAGCTGATCACTGAAGAATTGATGCTTTTGAATTATGGTGCTGGAGGAGATTCTTGAGAGTCCCATGGACTGCAAGAAGATCAAACCTATCCATTCTTAAGGAAATCAGCCCTGAGTGCTCACTGGAAGGACAGATCCTGAAGCTGAGGCTCCAATACTTTGGTCACCTCATGAGAAGAGAAGACTCCCTGGAAAAGACCCTGATGTTGGGAAAGATGGAGGGCACAAGGAGAAGGGGACAACAGAGGACGAGATGGTTGGACAGTGTTCTCAAAGCTACCAACGTGAGTTTGACCAAACTGCAGGAGGCAATGGAAGACAGGAGTGCCTGGCATGCTCTGGTCCATGGGGTCATGAAGAGTCCGAAACGACTAAACAACAACAACAGTGCTGAGAAAATACGGTATGCCCACAACAGCAGCACAACATTGAGGGTTGGTATATGGACAGTGCACAACACAGGGATAACAACTGCATTTATTTAGCTAAATGCAACATCTGAAATCAGAAATATTTCAACAAGCATGGTTCTCTGTCAAAGAGAAAGGAGTCCTTCTACACCATCTAGTGGCTTGAACTGCTATGTAAACACTAAATCCCAAATATACGTAGTATCCTCCATCTGGTACGAGAAACAAGACCAGGATACTCTGAACCAGCCATATTCTGAACCAACTGATATTTCCAAACCATCTTCAAAGGCAGCACTATGTTACACCAGTCAATTTTAGATGTTACTAGAATATCCATCATCATTATATCCAAGTTATTTCTGTTAAGGAAAGGCTGTAGCTGATGTACTAGTCTCTGCTGGTAAAAGGTGCTTCAGGTTACTGATGATACTTGGGCATCTGGGTCTAAAACCACCCCGTGCTATGTCCTGTTTTTTAAGGGATGGGAGGAGGTGCAGCTGCGATAGCTCAGTTGGTAGAGCGTGAGACTCTTAATCTCAGGATCATGGGTTTGAGCCCCATGTTGAGCAAAAGATTCCTGCATTGCAGGGGGTTGAACTAGATGACCCTCGTGGTCCCTTCCAAGTCTATGATTCTAACTCTGATCTATAATGTGTTGGCAACAAAAAATAGTATATTTGCAGGTTTGCATTTTTATATGATGTTTTATTTTAAAATCATTTTAAGACAGGCTGTTTAAGATTTTGCAAGAAAAGGAAGAGAAAGGTAGAATCAAGGTGCCATTCCCCTTTCTGAGAGATATAACACCACAGCTTCATCTTAGATGTTGGCTGGTGTATATTCATGCTTTGCTAATTTCCATCTGATGGAGAAGAGATTCTGAACAGGGCAATGGATGGGCCTTTGGTGTTCATCATACTCTTTCTTTAGGATGAAGACATTTGCTTCCTGGCCACTGTGAGTAACTAATTTCACAAAGGACAATTTCTTTCTTTGCCCATATTTATCCCACCTTTCCTTTCAAAGAAGGCCAAAATGGCAAGCAAAATTAAACACACACCCCCCACCATGGGTCTTTGGCAGAGAGCCATAGAACTCAGTATTCCAGGGGCAGTCAACATGGTGCACCCCAGAGGTTGTCGGACTCCCAACTACAATTCCGCCCCATCCAGCGCAGCCAATGGCCAGGGATGCTGGGCCATTTGGTCCAACAGCATCAGGAGGGCACCACATTTGGCTGTAGTGGATCTTGCAGTAGCAGATCTTGCGGTCTCAAATTTCAGTAGCATCCTGTGCAACACCAAAATTTGATGCCCCTCTGCCTCTCACACTCCATTGTAAATCATAGTTGTGGCACCCTCAAGGCTCCGTGCCCACTGCAACCAAACCAGTCGCACTTCCCTAAATCTGCTACATGTATTCTGTGTAGGAGAAGAAACACAACAAAAAATATCATAATTCAGTTACACATAAGAACCTAAGAGCCTGCTGGATCAGGCCAAAGGCCCATCTAATCTTGCAACCTTTATACACAGTGGCACCATGGGAAACCCATAACCAGGGCATGAGTGAAACAGCACCCCCCCCAATATCTTCCCCATTTTGGTCTTCTACAGCAGAGCTGGCAAACATTTTATGTTGGGGGCTTCATCTCCTTAGGGCTAATCTGTCAAGGGCTGCAGAGCAGCAGTGAGTAGGGTTGGAGTCAAAAAACAAGCAGTGGGTGGGTCCATCCCCTTTTCTCTCAACCCCCCTTCACCCCTTCTTGTCACCCATATGAAATGAGGCCATGGGCTGCATGTCACCCATCTCTTGCGCTATAGGAAAGATAATAAACAAAGTTCATGAAAGGATGCTGCAGCTTCCTCTGGCTTAAGATATAAAAAAGCTTTCTTAAAAGTAGGCCAACAACAGTTTTGAGACTAAATTGTGGTGCAAACTATCCTGAAAGAGATGGAAGCAATTCAAAGCTTCATTGTTTAACCCCCTCCCTTCAAGAATCCACTTATCCATGAAAGCTCATTATGGTAGTAAAAGGCAACAGGCAAAGAAACAATAAAACAGAAGGCAGGCATCCAAAGCTCCTAGGAAACTGACAGAAGCAAAGGATGAATTTGAAACCAGAAGTTATATTCTATACAACAACAAAAAGTTGCAATTGTATTCAAGTGCTTTATTCAAGATTGCGCTGAGCAACACTACTCAGTAAAAATAATTGAACCATTTACTGAAGACGGTCTTGCTGATGAAATAAAATGACTCTGTGGTTTATGTCTAATAGTTGATATGTTTTATGTTTTCTAAGGCTGCAATCCTATACCCACTTATCTGGGAGTAAACCACATTGAACTCAGTTGGACTTACTTCTAAGGAGACATGTATAGGATTGTGCTGAAGGTTTCCAGAACAAAGAAGAAAACACATTAGTTGGGGATGAATCTCAAAAGGCAATGTAGCAGCAAGTAGGAGTTCTCAGCAGAATCATCCTATCACCTCGGGGAAGCTCACAAGCCACTACCCAAAATCCCTGCATCAATGCAAGTTTGGCTAAGGGCAAATGTAGATTTGCATTTGTAATGCTTATTTGCAAAAATGCAAGAACAACCACTGGAGGGAGAATGATGATTACTGGACTTGCAGTGAGAGCCATGGCAGAACTGTCCAGATTGCGCCCCCTAGCCACTGACAAATTAGCTGTTCTTTCCACCTCTCCTTCCAACGCCCCCCTTCAATTCACCCTCTATTTAAAACCTTTTCTTATGAGGCAATAATCAATATTTTTATTTATAGACATATTTATGGACATATTTTTAGTGGGCTTTGCAACCTCCTGCCTGCGCCCCTGGCGGGGGCCCAACTCGCCCCCCCCCCTAGCTACGGCCCTGCTTGCAGCTGGTGGAGAGGGGGAGTTTCACTCTTTCATTCCCTATTGTGCCCCTGACTGCCACCCAAAATAGATTCACCAAAATGGTTACTTGCTTTGGGAGGGGAATTCTCATCAGCTTAAAAAGTTCCCCAAACATGTCCAAAGGGCTCATACACATTATCTTATAAAGATGTAGCTGTGTCTGTTTGTTGCCACAAACCAGAGCTTTGTTGTTTTTGCTGCTGCAGCATGGCTCTTGTAATCGTCACAACACCTGGTAAAGCTGATTGGTATTACCACTCCCAAATTGTGATCTGAGGCTGAGAGGCTGCCTGGCCTAAAGCCATCTAGCAAGTCATAGCAGAGGCAAGATCTGAATCAGACTGGTTATAATGCACAGCTCACAGTGCAAGCCTATATATGCCGACTCAGAAGTAAACCACACTGAATTAATGGGGGCTTATTCCCAGCTAAGTATACATAGGACTGCAGCTAGTAAACCCCAATAGATTCAAAAGGTCTTAGCCACTGCTTCTGATAGATTGCTTGGAAAGGAAATGGGGAGCCCTAGTTATTGCCGTCGCATTCCATCCTCCCTTTAGGTTTGTCCAGATCAATGACCTTAGGGTGCATCACTCTGCCCATAGTGCATTCAGTGTGATTTTTTCTCTCTCTAACTGAGGTAGGAGTACTGTGGAGAAATTGAGAGATAAAGTTTTGCTGTCAGCTTGCAGAACGTTACCATCTTAAAGTGTCAGCAATGTACTGTCCGTGTAATCAGTCAAGATGGATGACATATACTTCAAGATAAGCAGCAGCACAATGCTGTTAGCGTAATCTCCATCTAAAGGGATATAAATTTATCATAGCATTCAAGATATTGAGTGAACCTCAGCTCCAGCACTCTCTGCATCCTAAATGAAATGCCTCACTTTCCCTAATGACAGAGAACACTTAGAATAAGTATATGTAGGTGTACTGTCTGGGGTCTCTGATGGAAATTGACAAGCAACTTGTCTTTGCTACTAAGGCTGAAATTAATGCTCTTTGACAGAAGGCATGACTGTTGCATCTGTCCCTGCTTGTTCTTGTTATTAGTTAAATCTATTCAGCAGCTGTCAGTCAGTTCTTACTAATACATTTCAAACTTTTATGAAGGGAGCAACAACTGTGTCAGGCTAGGGCACCCAATTTCACCTAAAGTATATATTAGGAGCGGTGACGTGGAAACCACTTGCATTTCCTTGGAGATGTGCAACACTCTGCTTCAGAATGTTTGCTACTATATAAGGGACGCAGGTGGCGCTGTGGATTAAACCATAGAGCCTAGGACTTGCCGATCAGAAGGTCCGGCGGTTCGAATCCCCACAACGGGGTGAGCTCCTGTTGCTTGGTCCCTGCTCCTGTCAACCTAGCAGTTTGAAAGCACGTCAAAGTGCAAGTAGATAAATAGGTACCGCTCCGGCGGGAGGGTAAACGGCGTTTCCGTGTGCTGCTCTGGTTCGCCAGAAGCGGCTTAGTCATGCTGGCCACATGACCCAGAAGCTGTACGCCGGCTCCCTCGGCCAATAAAGCAAGATGAGCGTCGTAACCCCAGAGTCGGCCACAACTGGACCTAATGGTCAGGGGTCCTTTCACCTTTACCTTTAAGGGAAGTCTAACTCTAATACAGTGTTTCCCAATCTGTTTTTGGACTACAGTTCCCATGATCCCTGACCACTAGTCCTGCTAGCTAGGGTTGATGGGAGTTGTAGTCCAAAAACAGCAGGAGACCCAAGTTTGGGGAAACACTGCTCTAATGCTTCCACCCTTCCTTCTGGGCCATGGCTAGAATCCTCTTATAAAAGGGAGGTTATACCCACAACATAAATCGCTGAAGCTTACCATGTGAAGTAGGCAGCCTTCTTCAGCCTCAGGGCTGCATTCTATTCTGGGGAACATTCAGGGGACTGTGTGCCAGGAGTGGGTGGGGCCAGAGACAAAACTGGGTGGAACACTCGCCTTCTTATAGTAGGATAGTTTCTGCACACTCATATACCTCTCTGCCCTCCATCCAGGCAAGTATTATCAGAGTTCAAGGCCATAGCCCAGCCCAGCAAAACTCTTGAGGAGGTTGGAGATGTTGGAGTGGGTATGTTCTGAAGAGAGCCTTGGGGCCAGATAGAGAGGGATAGCTGCATTTGGCCTCTAGGCCTGAAGTTCTGAATACACAACTTACATGATTAGAGGTAACCTAACCCATTAGCTGATACAATTGTCAAAAGTGAGTGGCAGAGTAGGGTGGCAGCCACCAACAAACCTCCAATACAAGGATGGAAAGTGGGGGGGGGGGGGAGCGCACTAGCACAGCCAGCATGGTGCAAATGCACCAGCAGGAGCACCAAATCGGCCCTGCCAATGCATTTCCGCCATGCTGTGTTAGAGGACATTCTCTGTCCTCTGTCACTCTGTCCTCTGCCACTGGCTGGAAATCCCCCTCCAACATGCTGACCTCACCACTGCCTTGCCCCTCTTCTTCTCTGCCAGGGTATGCAGCAGCAAAGCAGGTGACTGGAAGACAGGTGAATGCCCCCTCCACCATCCGCTTCTTCCAGTAACTGTCCAACAACACCTTGATGTCCAACAACACAGAAAAGGATGAGAGGGCCAGAATTAATGTAAATGCTGCATTTACATTCACTGCTATTACATATCACCACATTT